TACTCAATAAAACCGTCGGTATACCGCCGGTGTACCGGCGGTTTCTTAAAGTACCGCGGTATACCGGCGGTAGTTCATGTAAATGTGCGACATGGGATATTCTTTAATCAACCATCAAGCAGTTTCTCAAGCAGTTACGTGGCAGCAATACTTTCACTGTTTGTCTCATCTAAAATGAAAACAAACTGATTTCTACATTAGAAATGACTATAACGCGTTAATGGTGCGACGAATGATTAGAAATCAATTGTAATCATTTTACATCACGGAAGATTTTCAATAATAGAATTAAAATTAAAACTTTGATTTCTGTTGATGCACAAAGAACAAATAACAACTCATTTCGAGTGCTCAAAATCATTAGAAATCAGGTCTTTCTTCTTCCTTGATCTCATCATTACTCTGAGAAAAACTTGCAACACAGTCACTCAAGGACACTTAGCATCATTTGGACATTTTCCTTCATGATTCAATCATACCTGCACATCAAAAAAAGAATATTACCTAAATGAAAGAAAAAGAAGAACAATACAGTATGTAATTACGACATAACTCATGCTTCTCTTTCCTTCGTTGCGTATGCGTGTTGAAATTACGTTGATGTCATTCGCATACAAGTGTAAGCAGAATTTGTCTTATTACACAACTGTGACTTTATTTTCATATTACAACAAGTACTATTTATAATTACTTATATTATTGTCCCATATGAGAGTTATTGCAAGAGTCATTGATTAATATAGTAAAATCAAACGGATCAGTCGAAATAGCAGAAACTGTGTCTGGTATATGGTGGATGAAAACAACGTCTCCAGAATGGATTCCACAAGTGATAAAATTCAAGAGCATCCATCAAAAAAGAGTAAAACCCTCACCAATGATCGATCTCATTCATTTGAACATCGTATTCAATCACTTTTATCGTGTTGTATTTGTTTGAATGTTTTCACATTACATATATTTCAATGTGACAATGGTCATTTGATGTGTTCTTCTTGTTTTCATCATTTTTTGGCCGATTCTAAATTCAAAAGTGAAGAAATGGTTTGCCCGACTTGGCGATGTCAAATGTCAAATTTCGAAAATGAATTGCACTCTAAATCTTGCAGTGGAAACAATCATTTCAAAGTTATCGACAACCTGTACTTATTGTTTGCACATAGGTCCTCGTTGCGATATCAAACATCATGAATCAAAAACATGTCCAAAACGACCGATTCAGTGTGAATATTAATTACTCGGCTGTAATTTGGCAGATCCTTTTGATTGTTACTACTAGATTCAGGAGTTAGATGTTTACCAGACATGATGTCAAAAATAATATCTCTTAATTCTTTCTTATGTGTCTTACTAGTTAATCTCTCTTCACACATTAACTCAGTGTTCTATATTTAACATAATTTGTAAATTTAAAAGGTGCCAAATAATATTTAAAATCTTTTTCATCTCGTTGAGATAAATAATCGCTATAACAAGCAACTGTAACTTGATAATTACTTAAACTAAAAAATCCAGCTAAAAGTGCTAATGTCCAAGATTTTCCTTGGCCTATTAAAATTTCATCAAGATGATTAGATGGTATTGAATTAGTTTCACCATCAATATCTAATAATAAGAAGACACCAAGAATTTGAATGCAATGAGGTTGTAATAAATAATTTTCATTATATTTTTCTTTTAAAACATATTCATTTTGTTGATTTTTTTCAATAAAATCTGAAACTCTTTATGAAAGTATAACTGATAGTTCAACAA